ATTTGTTAAATAATTGCAATTGATTGAATTGTATTTCCCATACATAAAAATGGAAATTGAGATTTGAGTACATGCACTATCAATAATTACTATTACTAATAATTAAAAATAAAGATATGTGAGACGAAAATTTTGATAAAAAATGTAGAATTAATGATTTATATAAATTATATTATTTAAAATATTAAAAAATAATATTATTTAATAATTAATTTTTAAAAAAAAATTCATAATATTATATAGGTTAATTCATTTAATAACATAATTCTAAATTTTGGTCCAAAATTTATTTCCTCTTATCACTACTCAATAATTAAAAAGGTCAAATAAAAATAATTTTAAGGTTGTGTTTAGGGTTGTTTTTTTTGTAATATCTTTTGACACAACATATCACAAAAATATTAATTTATTATAATTAAATTAATTTTAATTAATAATCCATATAATTTTATAATCATATTATTATATAATTTTTTTTTCAAAATAATTATTAAATAATACTATAATTTTATTTTTGACCAATCCATAGTTTCTCGCGTATAAGTAGGAGGACGCAACGACGACGTCTAAGTGCGTCTGTTAATCGCAATTTATTTCCACGTCCCCTTTTTTGTATCATTTTTGATTGGTCAACTTAGACTTTCTACTTTGACAATTTTGACTGTGATTTCTAAATTAATTCAAGTTAACCCCCAAACTTAGTTCTAGTTTCTAATTTCACCCTCAAGATTATTCTAAACTAATTAAACCCTGATAATTAATTAGGAAAAGTCACACTATTGCAATATTTATTTTAATACCTTGCCAACCTCTTCTTTCTATGTGAAAATGACAATGGAAATTAGATACATTATTGTTTCAGTAATATTAGAGAAACGATTTTTTTTTTCTAATCAGATCTATGATATTAACTTTTAAAACTAAATAAGGCTTCAATAAATACATTAAATCAAGTGAGAGCCCATGCTTTATACAATTAATTATGGTCTATGGCCATTGCTTTAGCAATTAAAAAGTTTTTTCTCTTACTCAGATCTTCATTTAGAGAATAATGTATGTATTAATTTAGAACTTTTTTTTATCAAATTATTCTTAAAATTCTAAAAAAAAAAGACCATACTATCTATTACTAGTTTATGTAAAGAACAATGATAGTTAAAATTTTATAATGAATTTATAATAACTATTGATTATGGTATGAACTCTATATTAACTCAAAATAATTAATTCTTAAAATAATTTCGTCTCAAAAATCATTACTTACAACAATTTTTTGATACATACATTACTGTAAAATAAGATAAAAAAGATTAATAACCGCGGAATTAATGGATGCATCACACATTCACAATTACATAGTCATATATTAACCTTTTTCTTTTTTTGTTAACTTTAATCACAATCCTAGTATACATACATTAATTAACAAATTAGAACTTCTGGGTCGAAATTGAGAAAAAAAAAAGTTTTGGGGCGAACTTCTAGCAAAATCAAAGAAACATATACAATTTATTTAGTACAAAACTCCGGACCCAATCCTTTCTTTCTTTCCACATTTTTCTCCTACAAACACTCTTTATCTTCTCCTTTTCCATCTCCATGGCTTCTTCTTCGCATTTCTCGTCTCCATTTCTTTTTCTTCACTAGCATTTCCTTATTTATTATACTCAATTCCCAAGTTTACTTCTTTTTTTTTTTTTTTTTCTCGTAATTTGATTCCTTAATTCTTTGATTTTGATTCACACTGCATTTTTCTATGTCTGGGATTTGGAGATGGAGGAAGCTCAAGGACCTTCCTTTCCTGGCGTCTTCTACCCACCACAATTCTCGCTTCATCTCTACCCATATCAATCACTTGAACATCGGATCCCACCGCCGGAGGGAGTCCCTCATCGGGATTCAGGAACGGTACAAGTGGGACAGCGGCGGTGGGAACGACAATAGTGGGAATGGGAATACCCCTTCTCGGGATTACAGAAGTACCACGCGGAAGATCAGGGCCGAGGTCAATTGCCCTCGATGTTTCAAGCAAATTGATCTGCTTTTCACCAATCGCAACAATATCTTCCCTCCGGAGATTGTCACGGGGGTTACTGAGAATTCCTCCGATGAGAGTAACGGCGGTGGTTCTACTAATTACGGGGCTGTTAATATCTGCCCCAATTGCAAAACCGCCTACCATTTCCGTCCTGACCGGACTTCTCCTCTCCAGGGTACCTTCGTGGAGATCGGCAGGGTCAACCATCATGGTAATAATGGTAAATACAACAAGACTACAAAAAATGGTGCTGAACAGGATTCTATCAAAGCTATTATTAGTGATACTAATAGGTTGAAGATGTCGTTTTGGAACACTTTGAGATCTTACGGGACTGACCCCCCTGAGAATTGTCCACCGCCGTCTACGGGGAATGGGCTGGCCGTGCACACCCCGCCCGGTCCGCCTTTTGCTCCTGGTGTTAACGTGATACGGGCAACGGGGCCGAGGGAAGGTGGTGGCTCAAGTGGTGGTGGTAATGGTGGAGGAGAGAAGAGTGGCGGATGGTGGGGCGGGGCTAACTTGGGGAAGGATTTACCTACGCCAAAGGAAATTTGCAAGGGCTTGGACAAGTTTGTAATTGGCCAAGAAAGAGCTAAAAAGGTTTGTAGCTAACTCCTGCATTTTCAAGCACTAGTTTTTCTCTGAAAGTGCTTAACTTGCTACTGCTTATATTCAACAAATTATCCCTCTGGTTGTCAAATCATAATATTTCCTATCTGCACTCTTAATTTAGTTTGTTTTTATCATTTTTCAGGTGCTTTCTGTGGCTGTTTATAACCACTATAAAAGAATATACCATGCCTCCTTGCAGAAAGGGTTAGTTTCCACCTATCATTTTCTTTGCATTCTCGGGCCCTTTCCCATCTTGGAACTTGCTTATGTCAATTATGTTTGTTTTTATTTGCTGAAAACTGTCTTCTTTGTTTTTTTTTAATTTTATGTTCTGGACAAGACTGAGGTGATGAATTTTGATACTAGGTCAGGAGAAGAATCAGGAAGTTCAGAAACAGTTGATGATGACGATAATGTGGAGTTAGAAAAGAGCAATGTTCTCTTGATGGGCCCAACTGGCTCAGGTAATTGTTTTACTATTTTATTTGGCCAACTTCTGGCCACCATGTTGCTAACATTGGTGCTTTTATATTAATCTTTTGAGTTTAGAATTTTGGATTGCCGTTCTGACTTGCTGTAAATAGGGAAGACTTTACTTGCAAAATCACTGGCTCGATTCGTGAATGTGCCATTTGTCATTGCTGACGCGACGACTTTGACACAGGTAAGTGAGTTTGATCAATATATGAACTTTAATCTTTGAAAATGGAAGAAAATATTATTTATATATATATAGATGATTAATCAATCTATGAACATTTTAGTTGAGCTTGTTGGTATACCTTATGTTACTTTCTTTTTTATTTAAAAAATCACGGTTGATTCTGGTGGCACTTGATCTCTTCTTCCTAGCCATAATCATATCTTCTCCAGTAAAGAAAACTGGAACTTGTGACAATTGCCTGGTGTTAATTTTGATGTGTTAGTCATTGGACCTGAAGTCAATGTGTTTTTTACTTTTGTTCTTTGCCTTTAAGATGCATGAATTGTGTTGATGCCACTCTTCTTGCCTGGATTTTTTAAATTGTTCAATCCTACTGAGTGTGACAAATACTTCCTTTTTGCAGGCTGGTTATGTGGGTGAGGATGTTGAATCGATATTGTACAAACTACTCATGGTATTGCCTCATGCTTTGCATAGTTTGACTGGAAAGAACATAATTATCAGTGGTAAACTAAAATATTTTTGCTTTCTGATGTGGGACTCAGGCAGCTGAGTTCAATGTACAAGCAGCTCAACAAGGAATAGTTTACATTGATGAAGTTGACAAGATAACAAAGAAGGTTATTTGATTTATTAGTTTGTTTATATAGCTTATCTGTAGTTCTTTCTTTAACCTAAAATTTTATTAAATGTCAAAGTCCTTTTGCAGGCTGAGAGCTTAAACATCAGCAGAGACGTTTCTGGGGAGGGTGTTCAACAGGCATTATTGAAAATGTTGGAAGGAACTGTAAGTTATAAGCCCTATACTGCTTACCATTCTTTCCTTTTCTCTTTTATTTTTTTTTTTAATTTTTAATTTTGGTAATCTGATTATCCTGTTGACAGATTTTTTGTATTGAAAATATGAGATGGTGGTTCTGGTCATCGATTATGTCCATCCTCTTTGTGACTTTTTTAAAAAAAACAGTTTAAGAATTACCTTTCCTGCAAAACTCTCAGCTGGAAATTAGGTTTTACTTTTGGTATCTCTTGGAGACAAGACAGTCAGAAGGGAGCTTGGAAGAGACATTGCTAAATAGTGGATGATGATGATGTCTATTAAATGAAAAAGATAATTCAACCTTAACAGGCTGTTAAATCAAAAAGATTGTTACAGTGATTTAAGGCCTTTTTTTTAATGTTATAGTGATTGCATGTGGAAGTATGCTTGCATCACAAAGAGTTTTTATCAAAAACTGAGACATCTATTTAGAAATGAAATTTAAAATTTTGGAAGGCATACTAAGAACAAACTAAAATGCTAAACATAATTTAGTCATGAGGTCTTGTAAATGCCTAGGTTTCTTAGGTTTCTACCTCCTCTCCTCCTTTTTCTGATATCCTTTTCTGTCATCATTAACTTTCTCTTTTGTTATCTATGCAAATTATTTTTTGGACCAGATCGTGAATGTGCCTGAGAAAGGGGCAAGGAAGCATCCTCGGGGAGATAACATACAGGTATTCTATTTTATTTAAATAACTTTATTTGCTAATGTATTCATTTGAAGACTGTTGCTACATTGTTCTGTACTATTTGCAATAATCTTTGCAACTGAAGCATGCTGTTTCTTTCATAGGAGCAGCAATCTCTATCTTTTGTTCTTTACTACAGGTGTTCAGCAGTTTAACAGAGTGCTCTTTTTGATATGAATTTGATAGTTCCTTTAAGGAGAAGGAAAAAAATATGTTGAATAAAGTTGATACTGACCTTAGTTAATTGACCAATCATAAAATTTAGCTTATGCTGACCTCAGTTTTGGATGGGCTTGAAGATCTCACTGCACGTAACAAATTTTTTCTAATTCTTCTAAATGAGATTTATATATTCTGCAGATAGATACAAAAAATATCCTTTTTATATGTGGTGGAGCATTTATCGATCTTGACAAAACCATTTCAGAGAGGTAGGGCTTTATAAAAGATAGCCCTTTGCTGAAATATATCAAATATATACATTTTTGTCTGTGTCTTGTTTATATTTTTGAAGGCAGTTTAACCATCTGTGATCTTTATCAGACGCCAAGATTCTTCAATTGGGTTTGGAGCACCTGTTCGTGCTAACATGAGAGTTGGTGGGGTAACAAGTTCTGTAGTGACATCATCCTTGCTTGAATCGGTGAGAATGAAGACCATTAGAAGTCATTAAAATGATGAGCATATGAGTTTTTTAATCTAGACAATAGGTCTCATGGTCACATTTACATTGCAGGTTGAAAGTTCCGATCTTATTGCATATGGTCTCATACCAGAATTCATTGGTCGCTTTCCAATATTAGTCAGTTTGTTAGCCTTGACCGAGGATCAACTGGTTCAGGTAGTGTCTTATTCGGTTTCTTCTGTTATTTTTCAGTTATTCCAAGTGGTCCACTATGCTGTTAATGCTTTGGCGCTGGCTGTCATGTCATTCCCTTTCTTCCTTACCGTTTATGATTGAATGGTTAAAGTTGTATATAATGTGTCAATATTCATGACTGCAAGGCTCATATGGTCTGTTGCAGGTGCTCACAGAACCAAAAAATGCTCTTGGTAAACAATACAAGAAGTTGTTCAGCATGAACAATGTAAGTACATTGCTTCTCTCCCGGGATCTCTCTATCACTATCTCTCATCAATAAAGATTTAATTAAATTGGAGATGTTGCTAAGAAAAAGGTGAAATTCAGAACAGTGGGTTGCTGACTTCATAATCTCTGTCCAAATTTCAGGTGAAGCTACATTTTACAGAGAAAGCATTGAGACTGATTGCCAAAAAGGCAATGGCTAAAAATACAGGTGCAAGGGGTTTAAGATCCTTAATAGAAAACATTCTAATGGAAGCCATGTATGAGGTATTTCCCCTATGATTAATTTGCCATAAATATGTGGCAAGCAAAAATTTCTTCAGTGTACCTATTGTTATGTAATTCCAAAATTTCATTGTTCAAGACAACTTTTTATGTTTGCATTTCAGATTCCAGATCCTAAGACAGGAAGTAATATAATAGATGCTGTTGTGGTGGACGAGGAATCAGTGCGCACAGAAAATGCCCCCGGTTGTGGTGGGAAAATTCTTCATGGAGATGGTGCATTGGAGCGTTTCCTTGCAGAAATAAACTTGAAGGAATCAGTGGTATGATTTAATTTACAGTGTAATTTTAAAAGGACTGCTTATCTGTGTGTACGACTTTTATATTGGCATGTTTCATCCATCTCCTTAATCACTAACCATAAGTCCTGCAAGTGCATTGATGCCATTATCCCATTAGAGGATCCACTTCTGAGTATTTCTCAGATTTGCAGAGTTAGTTGGCCATAGGAAAAGAAAAAAATAGGTTTTCAGACTATCTTTTGACATGTTTTTGGTCGACAGGATTCTGTTTGATAATCTTGTGACTTGTGCTTTAGGAAAATGTTGCATCAGCTGAAGGGGAGTTGCAGGATGGTGAAACAGAGCATTCATCCAGAGCAATGAGCATGTAACATAATTGCCACTGCAACTATTGTTGTGATTTGTAGAATTATTCTGTAAAAATCAGATTCATAATTTGGTGTAACTAACCTCCTGTATAACACAGCATTAGGTTCCGGGTACAAAGTTGAACGGAAAGAGGGAGAAAAAAAAAAGGAAAAAGGAATATGTAGCATTGTTTCTCTAAAGCTGCAAATTGTATAAACATCTGTTCTACTGCTCAGCATTAGTCAAAAGAATTTCCTCTTTTTTTCAGTCTCTGTTGAATTTTATTTTATTTTTTTACTTTTTTTTTTTTTTAGTGTTACATGGTGGGTAATAAAACAGGAGATAACCTTCTTATCCATGTCAAGATTTGATAATGAGACCTCAAACATTAGAAGCTTTAAGCTTTCCATTGGAAGTATTCTGCTCAGCATGAAACATTTTTAACTTTGGTTCACAAGGCATCAACTGAACTAACTATTTATTATTCAGAATTTAGAATTTAAAACTAGCATGTACCATAAAAAGAAAAAAAAAAAACCTAAATATGGCATTTAACTAGCTTAGATACTAGCTAGTAGCTAGTACCCTTATTTATTTACATCACCAAACATCTTAGGTGGAAAATTGGAAAATGAGAAACATATATCTTAAGAAAATGAGATGGATTTATTTAGCCTTGGACTTGACAAGCTCCATAGCCTGTGCAGTTGTTGGAAGGGCTGGAATTGCTCCTTTCTGAGTTGTACAAATTGCTCCACAAGCATTTGCAAACACCAGAGCCTCCTTCAACTTCCCTTCATCCTATATAACATTATCCAAGCAAATAAATAAATAAATAAATAAAATTAAAATTATTTTTCTTGATTAAATTACAAATCCATAAAAAAAAGCCCCTTAAAATTAGAGAAATTAAAGAGCAAAGACATTACATTGAAAATATTGGGATCTTTAGCCATGGCAACCAAAAAAGCCCCAACAAAAGCATCACCAGCACCGGTTGTGTCAACAGCTTTCACTGAGAAGCCTTCCACCTTTCCTTTCAAATTCTTGTTTATGTCATCAAGAATTCATTAATTAGTTCCATTACTTAATTTATGTATCAAAAAATTTAAAATAAAATAATTGAAAACCTTGTCTCTATATGTAGAAATACCTTAGTGAAGTATCTACAACCCTTTTCTCCATCTGTGACAAGAAGCAACTTGAGATTATTACTCCACAGAGACAAAACCACATCTTCCTTTTGAGGATCTCCATTAGTTAAGAAGGCCACTTCATCATCACTAACCTGCAACATTTTTCGTGTTAAATACACATTTAACCTAAAAGTTTAAATTGTTTGTTATATTGAGAGAAATATATTTTTTTTTTAAAAAAAAAAACTTAAAATATTGATTAATTTTTATGAATTACCTTGACAAAATCAGCATAATTCCAAATGCTTTTGATCCCATCTCTAGCAGCCTCCGGAGAGGGCCACAAAGGCAAACGTACATTGGGATCGTAGGAAAGCAAAATTCCAGCATTCTTGGCAGCTTTCATGGCTGCCATGTGAGCCGACCTACATGGCTCAGATATCAAACTTATGGATCCATAATGGAAAATCTTGGCATTCTTAATGAGACCCATATTCAACTCCGACTCCTTCAGGAGCATATCCGCACTAGGGTTTCTGTAAAACATGAACTCCCTCTCCCCGTTCGTCTTTAGAGTCACGAACGCCAGTGCTGTCCTGGCCTCCTTGTCGAAGCAGACGCCCTCGCTGTTAACTCCATTCTGCTTCAGAATATCCACCAGCATCCGTCCAAACTCGTCATCTCCAACCTTGCCAATGAAGGCAGAGCTGCCACCGAGCCTAGTGATGGCACAGGCAACATTGGCAGGTGCACCACCAGGGGCCTTGAGAAAACCAGTGGATTCAGCCAAGGAAACGCCAGCTACATCAGGGACAAAATCGATCAGCATCTCTCCAAAAGAGACTATCAAGGGACTGGAACTTGTTACCGGCATCTTGCTTTGGATTATGATTTGCTTTCACTATCAAAATTCAAAGGGTATTGTAATTAAGTTGGAATGGGAATTTTAATCTTGAGGAAGGTGGCTATATATATATATATTCATGGGGTAACAAAATTTTCCTGGTTAATAGTAGTACTGTGGAATTAATGGGAGTTGCAGTTGAGATATTTATACACTGAATCTCGGAATTAGGATTGGTTCAAAACAGTAATTGGATTAATTCAGTATCTTATCCACAATTGGTAAAGAGAAAGGAATTTAAATTATGTTTGGGTTAAATTGTAAGAATTTTTATTTTTTTTAACTGTTCATAAGTGATAAGTTTAAATTTTTATTAGAGAAAAATTTTAAAAGTTATTTTTAGATGTAAGAAAAAGTGAGTAAAAAATATATAAAAAGGAAGTTTATGAAAAGCAAAAAGTTGATATTTTTGAGTTTTTATTTAGGGTCATTTTAAAGTTAAAAAAAAAGTTTAAAAATATAAGTTTTTAGTAAGAAAATTTAAACTTATGAAACATAAATAGTATAAAAAACTGAAGCATTAGAAACTAAACCAAACATTCCCATAATGTCTAATATTGTAATATTGTACCAGGACAACGTTTATTGTGGATCATGTTCTATGGTAGTATAAGGGGAAACTCGATCATGTTGGGTGAGTTTTACTTAATTATGGGACAAGTCATTGCATGATTATATGTGGATTATGTGATCATTATTATATTATTTATCCTTTTTTTTTTTTCAATCTTGTGAGATAAATGAATATATATATATATATAGGAATAAGATTTAATTTTGTCTTCTAATTATAGTAGAAATTATTTGTTTGATAATTATATTTGGATTTAATTTCATTCTATGGACAATTATATATATTGATAAGATGATTTGCAGTAAAAATTTATTACTAGATAAACTTATGTGTATGGTAATCATTTTTAGATGAATTTGTGTACCAAGTACTCAATTTTAATGAGTAAGATCATTTTAATGGTTATTGTCAATATAAAAAGTGTTAAGATCACTATTTTTTATTTTTATTTTTTAGATTTTGATTAAAAATATTATTTCATTAATTAATTTTAATTTGTTAATTAATAAATATTAATTATTTTATCAATTGTTAATTAATTAATATAATTATTAATTATTTTTATTAAATAAATTATATTAATATTTTTTTTATCTTTGTTGCATAATGAAATACAATCATCTCTCATTCTTTATCCCACCCCACCTGCATACCATGCGATTCAAATTCAAGATCTCTTATTTCTAGCGGAAGAAGATGATCGTTGAATTATTTAGATAGTTGGTAAATTAAATTAATATTTAAAAAAATATATTTTACATTTATTAGTGATATTAATATTTTATTTGTTAATCATGACACAAACAAAAGCCTTAATCCTTTTGTACTGTTCAACTTTTTTGGATGATATATAATGGGCTTTAAAATTTTCTACTGAAGTTTGAGTCTACAAATTTTGGGCTGGACATTCTCTTCAGGGGGCCCATAAATTTATAGCCCAACTGAGGTAAAACCAGAAAAAAAAAAAAAAAAAAAATTGGCACGCTCGGACTACAAAACGGAAACTCTTTCTTCCTTCTGTTGATTGAAGTCGAAAAGGTAAAAAAATTTCGAAAGTAGAGTAACTCCGCCACCGGAAATCTTGTCGTCGCTCCACAGCCAGTATAGAGCCTGCATTGACCTGCGTCTTCCCATCTGTTCTCCTGATTTTTGAAGGTGAGCATCTTTACTTTTACGAGCTTTTCAAAATTGGGTTATTTTAAATTGTACTATTGTTTAGCATTTATCGAGTTTGAGCATGCATTGTTGTTGTCGTTGCTTGTGATTCTTCACTTTTACATGTAATTCAGCTGTCTCATTCAAATTAGTTGTAAAGATCGAAACTTTATTGTGTTCATTGAAATGGGTGTTTCAAATTTGGGATTTTTTTTCGGCCATTCTGTTATCGTCTGGTTTTTTTCAGTGTCAGATTGGCTTTCAACGATGAATTTTTTGCCCAGAGGGAAATGTTAATGGAAATTCCTTTGGAAATGTTACATGTTCAATTGACTGCTTGGGAATCCATGATTATAGTCGAGCAAAACTAGCATACAATATCCCTTGCTATTAGCCTTTGCACAATTTAAAAAATTCTCTTTGCTTAGTTGGGTTAATTTTGGCCATTTGGGTAGGGATTGTTGTGAAATCTGTGCTTCTGTTTTCACAGTGAATTCTGAAGCTTTGATTCTTGGACTAGTTCATTTTATGGGCATATGAGCCAGAAAATGTAAAATTTTACTCTTAAGTTCAGTTTAGCCCCCATTGGTTTAAACCTTCACCCCTAATGAGCTAAATAATTTGAAAATCTTATCAATTTTATCGTGGGTGTTTGCTGAAATCAGGTGACAAAGTTTCTTGTTCTGGTTCACTTTCTCCTCTTTGATGTTTTGTTGGTTATAATCTTGTTATAGATGAATCCCATGTCTAAGGAAGAGCGCATCTTATTGTTTTAGTGAAATTGATTTTCTGAATTTTCATTCAGTACTAGTCTTCATCTCATTGTTTGGAAAGCTTGTCCTGTCTTTTGCTTTTTCTTATGCAGGTATAATGTCATCTAGTTACTCCAGTGATGTTTAGGTATTTAATTTGCTGTTCTGTGTTTCATTTTTGCAAGGTTAGTCAATTTGTAAAGACATCTTCAAAGAAATATTTTCTTCTCTCTTGATATGGATGAGGCTGCTGCACAAACTGCCTGGGAATCTCTGGACCTGTTGTTTCACATATCGAACATTCTTGATACAGGTCTTGATCAGCATACACTCTCAGTCCTCATTGCTCTCTGTGACCTTGGTCTGAACCCTGAGGCATTGGCTGCTGTTGTCAAGGAACTCCAGAGGGACCCTTCCCTCTTTCCCTCAACACTAACTCCTCCAGCATCAACACCTTGAAATTTCTATGGCCCCTTGCTGCAAGTTAAAGTCGTCATGGAAAATGATAAGTGTCCTTTGTTTTGTAGCAAACGTCTTCTCTGTTGTACCAAAACGGGAGAAGTGAAGGCCTTGTATAAAGAATATAAGTACAAATGCTATGTTTTTGTCCATGATCTCAACCTGTAGATATTCTTCGACACATTTCAGATTTTTACTCCAGATATCTTTGGATAAAGTATTAATATTGATGACGTGCTGCATTTTATCATATTTCATTGATTTAAGCATGCTACCAAGAGAAAGCTACATTTATCATTTTAGCATATGCTATTGCCCAGAGGGAGGGACAGTTGTGAAAGCGACAGGGCATTCTGTTCTGCTCAATACCAAAACAAGAAGCTTTTTCCTTTTTCTAACATTCTCCTCAACTTGCTTCAATTGACACTGAAGGATTCTGGAATAAAAGCTACACGTGAAAAACCGAAGCAAATTTCTGAGTAGAACAATCAACAAGGACACAAGGTCATCATATTTATTTGGCTTTTAATTGGCTTTTAATATCCAAAATGAAAGAAGAATCATGCCTGGTATTGATTCCATATTTCAGATATCAGTTTCAGTTGATCACCCTGTGGTCCTGTTTATATTCTTTCTGTAAATTCCTCTCAAATTTAGTAAATTCAGTTACGAAATTCCCGAATATGGTGAAATTTCAAAACAAAAATTGACCAAAATCCAATGCTTTATATTGAACTGTTGAGAGAGGCCTGTTTGTCCATCCCATCCTCTCCTGAAGAAACCATTTTTTTTTCCTTTTTGAGAGGATAAAAATAGGTTCTATCAGAGCAAGCATACATCATGCTTGGTTGGCTAAATGGGAATACCAAACTATCCAATGCCATGTCTGTAAGTTCCCCCTCCCAATCCCAAGTGCTTTCATCAACTTTAATATTATTCATCATGTTTCGTCCTAACGTTTTTGGTGACAGATTGTTGAGCTTTTGGTACATATGGACTGCGAAGGATGCGAGAAGAGAATACGAAGAGCAATCTCAAAGATAGATGGTAATTAAGAACCTCATTCAAGTAACATCAAACTGATATATATTTTCCATTCTCATCAGCCTCATTTTTTCTAGAGTGAACTGTACCAAATGCAGGAGTTGATAGCTTAGAAATCGACATGGATAAACAAAAGGTGACGGTTACAGGATATGTAGACAAAAGAAAAGTGCTGAAGGTGGTGAGGAGGACTGGGAGGAAGGCAGAATTCTGGCCTTTCCCATATGATAGTGAGTACTATCCTTATGCAGCCCGGTATTTGGATGAAACAACATACGCATCTTCATACAACTACTACAGACATGGGATCAACGAGAACGTGCGTGGATACTTTCCCAACCAGGCGTACTCAACCGTCCCTGATGATACTGTTCATCTTTTTAGTGACGACAATGTTCATGCTTATTGCAGTGTCATGTGATTGATAGATGGTGATAATATTTACTAGTATTGGAGAAGATAGAAAAAGGAAGACTTTGTGAACAATCTTTCTATATTTCTATACAATAAGATGCTGTATATACATAAAATTAAGCTAAGCTAAAATTGACAATAATAGATCACCTTCTCGGGTGATAAAGGGTGTCCACCCTCACCAGGTTTGTTGAAATCTAATAAAAATCAAAATGAAAATCAGTCTTGGCCCTAAAATAGAGATCTAATTCCAATCAAACCCAACTCGTGAAGAAATTAACGAATTTTCTCTCCAACATAGCAGGTTATTAGGGTTGATGTATTTCATAAATAGAAGGGTTGATATACACTTCTTGATTTAATAAACTATATAATATGTTTATTAAAAAATTATTATTATTTATTTAAAATTAAAAGTAAATAAATTTAAAGATATAATTATACATATAAAATATAGAAATTGACTAAATTGACTGTATTCATATTATATTTTAATAGTTAAATTAGGATAAATATCAAAAAGTGTGTTGAACTAAGTGTATATTAATAATTTTTCATTGTATAATAGATAATTATATTACAACAAGAAACAAGTAAATAAATATATATCCAAGGAAGTGTTTCAATAATTAAAAATTTGAAATTTTAAATTGAAAATCTTAAATTCAAATTTTGACTTGAGTGAGAAGGATTCAAGGAAAAAGGAGGATTATTTTTTTTTTGTATAGCTTATGATTATCAAATGTACTAAAAAAATATATTTTTTTAAATGCATTGAATGATTAACTGCTGCTCATAACAAAAATTTGAACAAACAAATAGATATATACCAACTATCTATTGGATTAAGTGGAAGCATGTTGGTTTTTTTAAAATAATATTTTTAATTCAAGTCTTATGAATGGAGAAATAAATGTTGAGAGAGTTTCCTCTCATGAGATTCAAAATGACTCGATTTTAAATTAATCGGATTCAATGTGATTATTGAATATCAGAAAGTTAATACTAAAAAAAAACAAATGGATATATCACCAAAGTATTTTAGTCTGCGACTATATATGGAAACTAAATATTACAAATGAAAGTGATGTGAATTGAATGCCTTGAGCGCGTATGAACCCAGTGATAGTTTCGGCTTAATTCCATTACAATCAATTTAATTTGATTTCTTTTTCCTTAAAACAACATGCCCCAAAAAGACAAAAAACACTCAAGGCCTATGGAGGAGGCTTGCGGGAGGACTCTAATCTTAACCGAATAAGGAAAGGAGCTATCTATATATATTTATATAAACAGTTGCCTTTGTGTTACCCTCAATTTATCCTTTTAATTTGTGCATCTCAACTGAGGCCGATCGAGGAGGAGAAATGGATTACTACCAGGTGCTGGGGGTAAGCAGGAGCGCCACCAAAGAAGAAATCAAGAATGCTTTCAGGAAGTTAGCGGTGAGATATCACCCGGACAAGCATAGTCAGGCGTCCGACGCCATTAGGGACCACGCCACCCTCCGATTCAAGCAAGTCTCCGAGGCCTACGAGGTCCTCATCGACGACACCAGGCGCGCCCACTACAATGACCGTCTCTCATCATCATCATCATCATCACATTCTTCTTCTTCTTCTTCTTCACATTATAGTACCTGGAAATCTCGGAGGAGCAAGGGCTATGGCTATAGATACGAGTATACCTACAAAAACAATGGTTCCAGTAGTCTGTGGCAGATTATGCGTGGGCGCCGCCTCTCTTTTACCAGGATCGGGTATGTTTGATTTTGCAATCTTCAATTGTTTTTCCTATATATGAA